TCTTCACCCTGGCTTTATCCACAGACCAGGGACTCCCACAGGCCAGAGCAGGAGGAGGTGGACAGCCATTGCAGGGAGAGGAGCCACGCCCTTCCTGGACACTTTGGTTCTTTCCAGACTCTTGGTGGGTGGGTGATGTCCAGTGCATTGGGCAGGGCAGTCATAACTCTGGCTGGTGTTTCTAATGCTTTCAAATCTTTCTTCTGGACCTACACAGACACCCCAGAAACAATGCTTCATCAGCCAGCTAGATGCACCTCAGCCCAGTCGGGCTCCCACATGTGATAACTGTTCTATTAGATCAAAAGTCAGTTCTAAGCCAGGCATGTGGCACACCCCTTTAACCCTGGCAGTGGAGGCTGGCACAGGAGGGTTGGGAATTTGAGGACAACCTGGGCCTAGAGACCCTGTCTCAAAAACAAAAAGTTCTGTGTTATAAGCTAATTTTTATATCCATTGTTTTATTATTGTAAAGAATTTTAAAGACTTTCTAATATGTATATAAGGGGGTGATGTGTATATGCCAGAGTCCAGAACAGGGTGTTGGATCTCCTGGAACTAGAGTTACAGTGGATTTTAAGCCACATGGTGTGGGTTCTGGGGAAAAGTTGGGTCCTTTACAAGAGCAACAGGTGCTCTTTACCACTGAGCCATTTCTCCAAACCCCAAAGAACTACATTTTAATGCACATTTCATCTTTTTAGCACTCTGTACAGGATAGCTCGAAGCTTACATAGAAATCAGGTTCTGTCTGAAGAGTATTTTATTTTGTTTAGGTTTACTAGAGTTCTCTTGATGGGCATCTCTTACTTTTTTTTTTTTTTTTTTTTTTAAAGACAGGACCTCAAACTCAAGAGTTCCGCCTGCCTCTTCCTCTCCAGTGCTGGGCTTAAGGTCATGCCCCACCACCACACCCAGCTCTCTTTATTTGCTTGCTTTTATATCCCGACTACAGTCCCCCCTCCCATCCCCACCCCAGTCCCTAGCCAAATCCACTCCTCCTCCTCCTGTTTCTCTTCAGAATAGAGCAGGCCTCCCGTGGATATCAACCAGCCATGGTATATCAAGTTGCAGTGAGACTAGGCACCCCCTCTTCTATTAAGGCTAGATGAGGTGGAAAGGGTCCCAAAATCTTGCAACAGAGTCAGAGACAGCCCCTGCTCCCACTGTTAGGAGTCCCCCAAGAAGACCAAGCTACACAGCTGTAGCACATATGCAGAGGGCCTAGGTCAGTGCAGGCTCCCTGGTTGTTGGTTCCGTCTCTTGCAACCCCTATAAGCCCAAGTTAGTTGATGCTGTGGGTGTTCTTACCTCCTCTGGCTCCTACAAACCTTCTGTCTTCCGCAGGATTCCCCAAGCTCCGCCCAACGTTTGCCTGTGGGTCTGCATCTGTTTCCATCAGTTGCTGGGTGAAGCCTCTCTGATGACAATTTGGCTAGGTATCAAGCTCTGAGTATAGCAGAGTATCATTTGGAATCATCTCATTGACTTTTCTTTTGCCAGTCATATTTGGTTCTATCCTAGGTCTCTGGACCATCCCACCTCTGTTTCTTAGCCCTCGGGGATGAGCTCTCTCTCAAACTGTCCAGTCATTGGTTGGCGACTCCCGCAATTTCTATGCCATCTTTCCCAGAACATCATGAAGGCAGGATAAATTGTAGAACAAATGTCTTGTGGCTGGGTTGGTGTCCCAATCCCTCCATTAGAAGTCTTGCCTGGACTTCCAGGAGATGGCCGACTCAGGCTCCATAGCCCCCCATCACCAGGAGTCTTAGCTAGGGTCACTCTCATAGATTCCTGGGAGTTTTCATTGCACTAGGTTTCTAGCTCTTTCTAGAGATACCCCCTGAAGATAGGCTTCATCATGTAGCTGAGGCTCGCTTTGAACTTGTAGCCCTCCTGCCTCCACTTCCTGAGTTCTGGAATACTCACCGCCACACCTCGCTGCTTGACAGCTTCTTCTGGCACCTTCCCTCGCTCTGTCACACGTCACTCCCATTGGCCACACCTTTGTCCCTGCTCCTGTATGTGATGTGCAGTTGACTGTCATTCTTGTCCCTGGTTTTGGAAACTGGCTCAGGACCTGTGTGGTTTCTTCAAGTCTGTCCTGGTTGTGATTTCCTGAGCTTCTTTGATCTGTGCATTTATTGTTGGCACCAGCTGGAGGAACTTGAGAGACTGATTTGTTCATGTTCTCTATCTGGGACTCAGTTTCATGTGGACTGGATGACATTTTAGATGGAACACAGTGAATGTGTGAGAGCGGGCACAGCAGGCGCCCAACTCAAGAACAGAGCTGAGGCTGAGCAGGGGACGGCAGAGCCTCAGAATGCAGCTGCATGCGGCATCCTGTCCATATGAAACGGAGTCAGTCCCTCAAGTTCCCCTTGTTGGGGGCAACAATAAATACACAGATCGCAGAAAGGCACCGGGTGCAGGTTAGCCCGTGGAGGCTGGGAATCCTGGGCTGGGCTCCTGGGGTGCTGTGGAGGACGCCCGGACCTGAGAGCTCTGCATCTGGCAGGGTGGGACGTTTGCCCCGATGGCCCTTCTTTGTGTGAGGTGCTTGGAAACAATGCATTTTTTTTGCTGAGGGGAGGGAACATCTGGATGCTAGATTGTATAGGATGGTGTCCTGATGGAGCAGGCCACATGGAGACTGAGGGGATGGTATGGCTTGCCTCTTGGGGTCTCCTTCCCAGCCTTTTCCTCATGTGTGGATATTTAAGGGAGGCAATGGGGCTGGGGGACACAGAGCTGTGCTGTGTAGGTCAGTGTATGAGTGGAAACCAGTTCAGGGTGAGTCCTGATAACCTATGAGGTCACTCCTGCCATCAAGGGTAGATCATGTCACAGTATAAACATTGTGTGCAGGTCTCAATTGCCTCAGCCCTGCAGGAGCAGAGGGTCCATGAGGGTGCACATTGAGACCCCATGTGCCTCCTTATAGGTGTAAGTGGGAAAGGGTGAGGGCAGGCCTCAAGAGCCCTCTCGCCAAGTATGCTGGACCCTGGTGCCATTGAGACATGTGTTGGTAAGAGCTGGCCTGTTGGCTCTTTACCGGCCACACCGACCCTGGCCTCTGGCCTGAAAGAGATACAATTCATGGTCCAGTCAATTCAGAGCCAGAAAAGAGAGAAGTTAGAACCACTTGAGTTCTTTCCCTGGCCCTCAAGAAGGGACAGACCTATATGGAAGCAATGTCCAGCTGTCCAGTGAGGTTTTATTCTGCAGACCAGGCCAGCCACAGAGGGTAACAGAGCCAGAGCTGGTACAGCTTCCAGGAACAGACAGGGATGCTCAGAGATTTTGCACAGGCACCTAAATGGCCACCACAGCACCCTAGAGAACTCAAGCCTGCATCCGTCAGTATGAGGGAGCTTAGCCTCTGAGCTGTCCCGCTTTGTGGCTGTCATTATCCCGGTGACAATCCACAGCCCAGAGACCACTCCTGATCCTACTGAGATGGTGCTCAGGAGCTCTCTCCCAAGTCTCTCTCTTCCCTGGCCTCCCCAGGCTTGGTTCAACCAGCCTCTCACATCCCCTCCAGCTCAGGGACGTCAAAGCTGCCTCCTCTGCCTCCTTCCTATCTGGGAACCCCTCACTCTACTCCATCTCTTTGCCCCCTGGGTCATGCTAGACCTAACGAGAACCTGCCTGTCCAGCTACTGTACCATGTCCGTCCACAGTGAGTATCTAAAGGAGAGGGGAGAAGTAACTGACCCTGTGCTCGTAGAAGTCTCAGTGTGGACTGGGCAGGGGCTTCTCAGATGGAGCAGAAAGCACTGGCCGTGCCCTGCGAAAATATAAACCTTCCAACCACCCAGTAAAAAGGTGGGCAGGGTGTGCGTTGGGGTACGTAGCCAGCAAGGGATGCTAGGAAGTGCACATGCTCAGCAATGAGACGCTCAAGTGTTCAGGGAGAGAAGAGGTTAGACACCCCTGAGCAGCACTCAGTGTCTTGATCCATGCAGGCACTGGACCTGAGGCTGCAAGCCAGGTGGCAGTACCATGTGTTGATAACACTGAGCGGCCCCCTTCAGCCCCACTCGTGGGAGTGTGAGACCCTGCGGCCGTCTGGGAAGTGGTCAGCGGGTCACCGTCCACCTCCCTCATGGCTCAGCACAAGCCATGTCCACTTACAGGAGCACAAGGACGGACTCTGAGGTAGATGTTGTCCCTATAGGGTGACCCTCCATAATGTCCTAGAAGCCACCCTGTAGCTCCCATTCTGTGAAGCTTTAGAGAGCCCAGCATCGTCAGAGTATGAGGGGTGCTGGCTGTCGGGGGTAGGGGTGCTGGCTAATGTAACTCCACGGGTGTAAGCCTTGCTGGAAGCCACTGAGCTGTGCACAGCACAGGCATGTTTCACCATTTGCTCAATGTGCCCATTCAGTCGGTTTAAAGGTCTGGGCTGAAGCCGGGCACCCCAGTCGATGTGTCTGTTCCTCTCATCCATGACTCCTGGCCGGCTGCCACTGTCCTCCAGCCCTCAAGGGCAGCCATGGTGGTCACTATCGTCAGCCCTGGGCCACTATGCTGTCTCCTGTTCCTATTTTGCCTTCTGTGAACTCCCACTCCCCCTGGGTTCTCACGCCTCCACCTCCAGGCAAAGTCTGTACCTCAAGCGCCTGCCACTAGTCCTGCCTTAGCCAGAGCTGCCGCCATGGTACATCCCAGGAAGCCCAGGGTCTCAGGCCACCACACAGATAGGTCAAACCACCACCACCACCACCACCACCCCCAGCCGTTCCTGGGCTCGCCAACTCCTGTGTGGGTTCCGTACCCACGTGTAGAAAGCTCTCTGCACCTGGAGTCTCAGTGGCACCTGCAAATTTAGAGAGGACCTAGGATCATACCCCCAAGCTGAGAGGGTGACAAGAGGGCTCCGAAGCCCCTCTGAAGCCCGTGCTGGGCTACTGAAGTCTGGGCACCCAGCACAGACACAGTGCGGCCGCTCTGGCTCCCAGGCATTCCACAGCACACGTCTGCACCCGCAGGTGATCCTCATCATCAGTGGGAACCTGAGCTTCCTGAACTGGCTCACCATCGTGCCCAGCCTTGCCTGTTTCGACGATGCAGCTTTGGGATTCCTGTTTCCCTCAGGACCTCGAGGCCTAAAGAACCAAGTCCTGGAGATGCAAAGGGAAGATGCACAAGGGGTCCAGCCCAAACCAAGATATGGTAGGTGAACCAGGCCCCCAGCTAGCCCCATGACGCCATGCCTATTGTCTCATGAATATGTAAGAAGGTTGGGTACCCACCAGCTCCACAACACTCAAAACAAGGGTGGGTACCGTAGGCCCTGGGAGGGAGCATCTGCTGCCTAGGGTCCTTTACCAGGCCAGGACCTAGGACAGTTGGTCCTTTAACCACTTCCAGGGTCCCCTGCATGGACAGTCACACTTTGTTCTCCATATTGGCTCAAGCATAAGGGGCTGTGGCTCGGGGCACCTTTCCCAGCCCACGGCTTCCATCATCTGGGGGTACCTGTAGGCCTTGAGCCTGGAGTGGGAGAATAGCAGCCAAGGTTTCCTGAAGGGATAGCACAGCTTTGCCGTGAGAGTGGGAGCCTGGCTGATGAGGACCAACCTGTCCCCCGCCCCTCCCCTTGGGCTAGGCTGCATGGTGCGGCGAGTGGTCAACATCTCCCTGGGCATCCTGGTGGCCTGGCTCAGCGTCCCCGTGGTTATCAACCTCCTAAGCTCCAGACAGGTCATGAACACCTCCTTCAACCCACTCAGGATTGTCAACACCTACGGGGCATTTGGAAGGTATGGGCCAGGCATCCTGGCTGGGGCACTGGGCTCTGCCCTCCTGTCCATCCTGGCTCACTTTCGGGAGGCATGGGCTCATGGCATCACCCTCTCAGCTGGGGGAAGGCAGATACTGTGGATACACTGGCCTTCTTCGTCTCCCCCCAGTATCACCAAGGAACGGACTGAGGTGATCCTGCAGGGCACAGCTAGTCCTAATGCCAGTGCGCCTGATGCAGTATGGGAAGATTATGAGTTCAAGTGCAAGCCAGGCAACCCCTGGAGGCGGCCATGCCTTATCTCTCCATACCACTACCGCCTGGACTGGCTAATGTGGTTTGCAGCTTTTCAGGTAACGATGCCCCACCATGATGCTCTGACCTGGAGCAAACTCTCCTTTACCCACAGACAAGCCCTGCAAGCGTGCTCTTTGCAAAGGGTGCTCAGACTCCCACCAAGAGGGTCATCGAGGAGGGGGACCTCTCCTTAGAGGTGCATCCCACCCAAGGCACTGAGCAGGCCCTGCTTTGACCTAGACCTGCCTGGGAAAAGTTCCTGTGAATAGTTCCGCTCCCCCCAGGCCCAGGCCAGTCACGCCTAAGGCCAGGGCAAATAGCCAGGTAGAAAACACAGCTGAGGCCTGGTCCATGAGTGAGTGATCCCCGGGTGAGAACCCAGAAAGTACGTGAGGCAGGCAGTTCCTGGAAGGTTGACGAGTGGACCCTCGGAGGAAACCCAGTCCTGGCACACCTGACCATGCCATACTCCAGCCAGGCTGTGGAGCACAGGGAAGCAAGGGATGTTCAGAGTGACCAGGCAGGGGCTACACCAGGACAGATGCCAGCTTGCTGGGGGGGGGTGGCTGTCCCCATACTGCGACCTCATAAACACTGTCCTTCCAGACCTATGAACAGAATGAGTGGATCATCCACCTGGCGGGTAAGCTCCTAGCTGGTGATGCCGAGGCCCTGTCCCTCCTCGCCCTCAACCCCTTTGAGGGCAGGGCACCCCCCAGGTAAGAGGCTCCTTATTCATTTCAGCTTGTGTTCAGTAGGCACTGTCCACTAGTGCCTGAGTTGGACACCCTGATACATGATGTGGAATTCAGTAGCAGCCAGAGACTAGGGGACTGAGCAGTCCTGAGCTGGCCCCATCCCTCCCCTGTGTCCTGCCCACCATTGATGCTGACAGAAAACACGTCCCTGTCTCTCCCTGGAGAAGCTTCAGGACAGCTGCACCTGGAGCTGCCCACAGCTGTCAGGGCTGTCAGGAGGGGCGCTGAGGGGCAGTGAGCAGCTGCAAGTGTGACGGCCCAGGCAAGGGAGCCAGCCAAGTGCCTCCCCACACTGCCTACCGTGGCACTGGGGGTGTGGGGCCACCCCTCCCCAGGGACCACCAGCCTCGCTCCCCTCCCCTCTGCCTCGCACCCTGTAGCCACCAGATGATCTGAACCAGGCACACACTGAAGTAGATTCGCATCGCCAGGTTTGCCAGTGGCCAAACATCTCTGACGTAGAGCTGTGTCCTTCCAGACTCTGGAATGCTTTTCACTGACCAGCCTCCTGGCTATACTGTCTTGGGATGGTGCCCCACCTGCCAGGGATTGGTGGAAGGCCTAGGCTTAGGATGAGGTCTCCTGATTCAGCTGGAGGCTCTGAGGATGTGGTCAGGTGTACCTTGTGGAAACAAAGCCTGCAGACAGATCTGTGGATGTGGAGATGCAAATCCGGCTGCCTGTTGTGTGGCTCAGTAGTGAATTGATATTCACTATTAGTACATGTGCAAGTTGAAATACAGTTCGTGCCACAGAGCACGGCCCAGCAGAGGGGCCGTCATCACACTCTGCTTGGTTGCAGAGCTGAACATGACCTCAGCCTGACCCCGCTGCCAGCTGTGATTTTCTGAAATGGGTGGTGACTCTGGAGTCTCCGTGGTGGGAGGATGGATCAGACACCTCCCTACCCTGCACCGAGCCTGGGTGCTGCCCGTGAAATAAACACAGGAGCTCTGAACAGTCAGGGGGGCGGCTAGTGAGGGACCCCAGGACCCCAGCATCAACCTTCAAATAGCACCAGCTTGTCTTGCTTCCTGTCTGTGGAGATGAAACAGCAGCAGATGTCCAGTAAGGAGCCGCTGGCGAGACAGAAGCTATGGCAAGCCCGTTCTACTCCAGCCGGGGCCACTGAGCAAATGGCCCCACCTCTCAGGAAGAGCCAGGAGCACATGGACTCCACTCTGAAAAAAGAGAGGCCACTCACTGAGCTGCTGGAAGGCCCTGTGGTGACCCAGAAGCTCACTGCAGCCAGCAATGCCAGCCTGGTTTCGTGTCATCAATGGGGGTCTTCGATCGCCACCTCTGCCTGGCAGTGCCGGGGGCAAGGTAGAAAGTGTGGACCTCCAGCATGGAGTCAGAGGAAGTGGCGCAACAGAAGGGTTGAATGTGATTTGGGATCCCGACGCCCAAACTGTTCAAATCACCCCAAGAACCAGGGAGACATTGAACTGATGAGACAGAGCATTCCGTGGATGACGACAGCTGAGTCTCCCCACAGCAGTCGTGAGGGGATTAGAAACACAACGCCCACAAGAAGAGTCAGCAGAGAAGTAGAAGGCAGAGGGAGAACCAAGCGAGACGCAGGACGGAGAGCATAGGCCAGGAGTGGAGCACTGGAGGAGGGGAGGAAGAACTGGGATGGGAAGGAGGAGTCGGCAGTGACCCATGTGGGTCAGCTGAGCACCCGAGTAGAGTGTGGGGCCTAGGACAGCAATGAGATCCAGGATGGGTGTCTGCCCCCGAGGCAAAGAGTCCCACCTGGGGCTGGGAGGCATTAATGAAGATTTCCCAAAGTTGCCAAAAGACACAGCCCTGAAAGGTCCGTAAACAAAGGGAACCCCAGATGGTCAATCTTGGAGGCTCAGTAGACATCCAGAAACTGTAGACAGTGAAGGGACTGACCAGAGCCACCACCTTGTCACTGAGGGTCAAAGGACCCTGAGATCCAGATCTCACCAGTCCAGACAGGCTGACTGACCAGAGAGCCCTGGGGATCCTGTTTCCCACCTCCCCAACACTGGGATTCCAAGTGCGCACCGCTACACTCCATTTTGGTTTTTTAATGTGGTTTCTAGGGATCAAACACTATACCTCCCGATCTATGTCCCCAGCCCTCTAGAACAATCACTTGAAAAATAAAAAGGAAAGAAAAGCTGGAGAGGTGGCTCAGTGGTCCAGAGCACTGGCTGCTTTTGCAGAGGACCCGGGTTTGAGTCCCAGCACCCACACGGTGCCTCACAACCATCTGTAACTCCAGTTCCGAAGCATCCAACACCCTCTTCTGGCCTCCTCAGCAACTGAAGCAGAAACCACAGAGGAACGCTGTTCATGGGCTGCTCAGCTTGCTTTCTTCCACAACCCAGGACCACCTGCTTAAGAGTAGCACCTTACAGTGTGCCGAGTGCCCACATCCATCATTCGTCAAGAAAATGCCCCCGAGACACACCTGTAGGTCACTCGGATAGAGGCTAAAGTTGAAGTTCCTTCTTCCCAGGTGACTCTAGTTTCTGTCACCTTGATAAAAACTAACCAGCAGAGTCATGTTCTAGAACATTCCAGGGGTGGTGTCAGTCCTCCTCAGTTCCCTCACACACCTGCCAGGCAAAGCGCAAGGCCCTGGCTCTTTCCCAACCTCCCAGGCCCAACACTGGGCACCTGAGCCCTGTCCCAGGACCCCACCCCCAGCACACCACACCCCCTCTGGCTGTAAGTAGTGTCCAGGCCCTGCAACCCTAGACCTTCGACTGTTTCTTCAGAAGAAAATGAAAGCAAGAAGGCCAATTCAGAGAAGACGAAGATCACATGACAGTGGCCTTCCCAGAGGCTCCACATCCCTGCCCTCCACAGCCTTGTGAAGTGTAGGGTCAGGATCCCCGATTCAGGAGAAGAGGGACTTTGTGGCAATCTCCAAGGCACAGCCTTATCCTCTCCATGCCCACCCGTGGAGTCCAGCATGACTCTGCTCAGCACTCCCCAGCCTCACCACAACACTGACCTCCATCAAGGACCCTTATTCACTCAGGTTTACATACCAGAGGAAGGAAGGATAGCATCCCCACTCAGAACCACAGCACGTCCCCCTGGTCCCATCACGGGCTTGCTGTGTCCTGGGCACACCCTCATAGCACAAGTTGGAAAAGGTGAATCACAGAGAGAGGGCATCACCTAGGGTCTCCCTCGAGTCCTCGAACACAGTATATGCCACCACTGGAGCCCAGATGAACCTGTTTGACACCCAAGATTTGTAACAGGCAGGGAATGTTTTGATCATGAGGCTGATGGGGCTCCACCCATGGATTGCAGGGACCTAGGCCTGCCTTCTGGGATGGAGGGGCCATGAGGAGCCGGGGGGGGGGGGGGGGAAGCAAAGAGACAGCAGACTGACACACTTTCCCTGCAGGTGGATCCGAGGAGAACACCACCGTTACCGGTTCAGCCTGCCCAGTGGCAAGCACGCTGCCCAGGGCAAGTGGTGGATACGCAAGCGCATTGGTCCCTACTTCCCCCCACTCCGCCTTGAGGATTTGAAGGACTACTTTAGGACTCGGGAGTGGCCGCTGCCGAAACCCCATCTAGACATGCCCTGAAATAAAGACCAGAGACTAACTCCTTTTCTCCCTGTACTTTCTGCTGTGGCCATGGGTCCCACACAGTGACCAGGCAACCCAAGGGTCCTGCCAAGAAGAGAATTGAAAAAGGTTGTGCTTCCTTCCATAAGTGCCAGCCTCCTGCCTCTGTCCCCGTCACCTTGCTATCCTGTCTCTGTTATGGAGAGAATCCTCCTCACCCCTATGCCCTGCATATGGCCACACAGTGAGGTCGCATGGGCACCAGGCCTCCCCTTTAGCTCAGGGCACCATGCTTCCTCATCCTCCCTCCTCACAGGCCCACCCTGTCTCCAGTACCACACTGCCACCTACATGGACATCACAGGAGGCCACTGCCCGTATCTGGATGGCGGTCACTTGGGGAGCCTTTCTTAGTCTTAGCTATGGTAAGCAACCCCATAGGCTGCTGAACCCCGGGGCTTCTCAGATTCCCTGACCTAGAGGCTAGTTCTCACCTAATCACATGCTCATAGTCAGGCCAATGGCCAGGTCTCCCTCACAGCACAAAATCACCCCCAACCATCTCCCTGAGGGAAAGAGGCTTGCTGTCCTCAGCCTGATCCCTCCCCAGGGGCCCTTACATACTACCTGGGCAGACACCCACAGAAACATGAACTCATGGGTCCCTTGAACACTCTAGCATAAGAGTATTTGGAAAGCGGGTGGTGGTGGTGCACGCCTTTAATCCCAGCACTTGGGAGGCAGAGGCAGGCGGGTCTCCATGAGTTCAAGGCCAGCCTGGTCTACAAAGTGAGTTCCAGGAAAGGCGCAAAGCTACACAGAGAAACCCTGTCTCGAAAAACCAAAAAAAAAAAAAAAAAAAAAAAAAAAAAAAAAAAAAAAAAAAATTCGGGGCTGGAGAGATGGCTCAGTGGTAAGAACACTGGCTGTTCTTCCAGAAGACCTGAGTTCAGTTCCCAGCACCCACATGGCAGCTCACAACTGTCTGTAACTCCAGTTCTAGGGGATCTGATACCTTCACACCAATGCACATAAAATAAATTTAAATAAATTATTTAAAAAAAAATATTTGGAAAGCATGGATAGAAACCGTCCTCAGTTTGTGGCCGTGGGTGATCTGCAGAGGGCCCAGCAGAGCTATATTGGTGGGGACCTTGGCCGTAAGACTTGGCATAAGGGGGCTGGAGAGATGGCTCAGCAATTAAGAACACTGAATGTTCTTCCAGGGGACCCAGGTTCAATTCCCAGCATCCACATGGCAGCTCACAACTGTCTGTAACTCCAGTTTCACAGGATCTGACACCTTCACACAGACATACATGCAGGTGAAACACCAGTGCACATAACAGAAAAATAATTTAAAAAAAAAAAAAAAGACTTGGCGTAAGACTTCCCTTCATGAGTGGACAGAGTTGCCCCGGCTCTCCAGCTACAGGGACAGCAGAGACTCTGGGAATACTTGCCCATCCCCCTTCTCACCAAGCATGGTGTCTGGAGCCCGTGTTGCCCGCCCCTGGGCCACACTGCCGAGGATCCCAGAAGGGACAACAAAAAGGTTCAGCTGAGGAGGCTGGTCGAGGGGGGCACAAGTGTGGTCTGTACAGAGCACCCCCTCAGCCTGCCTGGGGGGTGGGGGTTGATGGCCAACCCAGGTGCAAACAGAGAGCCCGTGTTCCAGCTCCCAGGGAAACAGGGCACCCTGTGTGTGTCGGGGACAGACAGGCCTCACAGCAATGATACTGGAGCCAGCAAGTCTGCCATGACCACCACAGGACTGACTGGCAGCCTGCAGCCTGCGCAGCCCTTCCTGGGGGTGTCCTGTCCATGTCCCAGGCGGGAGACATGGGTGAGGGGGCTCTCAGCAGGGACACCAGCTGCTTGGGTAGTCTGGTGACCCGGTAAGTGACACCTAGGTGCCTACGTTGGACCTCACCGTGAGGGCTCCATGCCCTTACCAGGTTACCAGGAACACAATCTCAGGGCTCAGCAGGAGACGCCTCGGGCCCCCAGATACACACTCCTGGGCGTTGGTCCAGACATGTGCCCCCTCCTTCCCAAGGATCCTGGGGGGTGGGGGCTGCAGGTCCAGCAGAGCTGGAAACAGTGTGTTAAGGCCTGTGCGGGGGACAGGAGCTCTAGCAGGGAGCCAGGCCCTGGGGCAGCCAGAATCCACCAGGATGCCTCTTGTAGGAGAGACAGGGTCTGACAGCCAGACTGCAATCAGGACAGGTAGGAGCTGGGCCCTGCTGGCCGCAGAATGTCGTCTTCACCCAGATGCCACCCTGAGTCTATGCTGCCTCCTGTGTCTGTGTTTGCTCACACAGTAGTCATACTGTATGACTCAGGGAGGTTCACTGGCATCTTTTATTTTATTTTATTTTATTTTTTGAGACAGGGGCTCTATGTAGACCAGGCTGACCTTGAACTCACAATGCTGGGATTAAAGGTATGTACCGCGCCGGCGGTGGTGGCGCACGCCTTTAATCCCAGCACTCGGGAGGCAGAGGCAGGCAGATCTCTGTGAGTTCGAGGCCAGTCTGGGCTACCAAGTGAGTTCCAGGAAAGGCGCAAAGCTACACAGAGAAACCCTGTCTCGAAAAACCAAAAAAAAAAAAAAGTGTGTACCGCCATTTCTAGCTGCATCTTGATTTGTACAGACCAACACTATTCCAAGGTCAGACAAGCCCATGTGGTATCTGCTGTCATGAATCACTCCGGAGGCGGGATGAGGACAACAGCAGTGCCACTTGGAGTGTGGGACATGGGGAGTGGCCACCTGGTGACACTGGCACTCAGTGTGGTATTAGTTCCTCAGGCCAGCAGGAACCCAGGAGCGGTCACAGTAGACAAGCTGGTGTGGCTGACAGTAGGCAGTTTCTTCCCTTGGCAAGCACAGAACAAGTCTTATCGCCGTCCCACAGACCCTGGTCATCATGGTGGCCTTGGGGACCCACCAAAGAGGCTTGGCAGCTCTGACTGAAGGTAACCCAGCCCTACTCAGGGAGACCTCTCACCCCAGGGTAGATGGGTCCTGACTGGTGAGTCTGTCACTAGATGTCTACTCACTAAAGATAACACAGGGACCTGAGGCCCTAATGGTGATGGCAGTCACAGGTTTCTCCCTCTGATATATATGGGCCCCCCATCATACATACACCTCCAAAGCTCCCCTTCTGGAAGTTAGCTCCATTAACAAATGATCCTTATACCCCATTGGGTCACTCCAGCCAGGAGTGACCTAAAGCCATCCCTGGGGAGCCCCATTTCCACCTGTGCCTTGGCTGCATCAGGGCCACAGGACCTTTGCACTGGATGTACTATGCTCCCTGGTCATACTCCAGGTGGAGAGGGGTCTCATCCTTGTCTCTTAGTGCAGCAGGCATGCTGTATGGGTCTACCAGGTCAACTGCAGCATGCTAAAGGACTTGCCCACCTGCCCCTGGCCACACTCCCTCCCTGGCCCTCTCCCTCCATGGAAGAACCCAAGGGAGAAAGACTCGGGCTGCTGAACAGTATTGTCTCCTTAGGGCATGCTTCCTCACTTCTCTGCCCAAATCCTCACACCAGGGGAGTGGACAGAGCGGCCGTGACTTGAGTAGTCCTGGCTTGGTTCAGTGGGATGCACAGAAGCTAGGTTAGAATCGGAGAGTATCCTAGCAGCTGGCGACCTGTCGATGTATTAGAGTCACTCTACATAGCTTCCAAACACCAGGCATCAGTCAGGAGCTGGGCAGGGGCTCTGGGACGGCAGAGGACAGTCATAGAGGACTCTACCTCCACCTGCTTGCCAACTCCGGCCCCCAAGTCACCAGGCACTGTCTCCCTGAGGTGCCATGCTGGACCTATTGGTCCCCTACCCGCCAGCAGCTCAGTGGGTCCACTCCTTCCCTCTCCATCATCCAGCAGAGGTGATGTGCCTTCATCACTCACTGGAGGTAGGTCCCCAGCCAGCTGAGGCCAAGGGCTTTCCAGTCACCTGGGCTAGTAAAGGTAACCAAGGAAGCATCCTCATTTACAGTATCACAGGATAGCAAGATGCCTGAAGGAAGCCGGCCAAGTGGGTGCCGGGCTCAGCAAAAACCGTAACATGCTGCTAAAAGGAACGGAAGACAACAGAGTGGGTGTCAAGTCACCTGAAAATGTCACTGCCAGGATGACAGTGCTCCCCACGGTGGCGGTGCTCCCCACGGTGGCTGAGTCACAATCCTGACACCGTCCCAGGAGTCTTTCTATAGAATCAGGAACCCTAGCTCCAGACTCAGTGGAGAATGCAACTGACAGAGTCAGTCTCATGCTGGAAGACAGCTGTCTGGTAACATGCCTGCCACGCAGCATGAGGACCCGAGTTTGATCCCCCAGCACCCCCATAAACGGCAGGCTCCATGGTTGCTTGTCCTGGACAAATTGGTGAGCTCGCGGTTTAGTAAGAGACTCTACATCAAAAAACCAGGTTGATAGCAATCACAGAAGACAACATCAACTTCTGATTTCCACGTGTGTGCACACACACAGACACAGACACACACACACACAATAAATTCTAAAATATAACTTTAAAAGATCAATTCCAGCTGGGCGGTGGTGGCACACACCTTTAATCCCAGCACTCAGGAGGCAGAGTCAGGCAGATTTCTGTGAGTTTGAAGCCAGCCTGGTCTACAGAGCGAGATCCAAGACAGGCTCCAAAGCTACACAGAGAAACCCTGCTGCTCTTGCAGAGGACCTGAGTTCAGTTCCCAGCACCCATATGGAAGTTCACCACCATCTGTAACTCCAGTTCCAGGGGATCCAATTCCCTCTTCTGGCCTCCTCAGGCATCAAGCATGCATGTGGTGCAGTTAACATGTATGCATGAAAAACACTCATACACATAAAATGTATTTTTTTTTAAAAGGTGAGCAGAGGTGTGACTCAGGCAGAGTGCTTGCCTGAAGTGCATGAGGCCTTGGGTTCTATCCTCAGCACCAGTAATAATAATAATAATAATAATAATAATAATAATAATAAGAAGAAGAAGAAGAAGAAGAAGAAGAAGAA